AAGTACGCCGAGGCTGAGAAACCAGGACCATCCTGACCCACCCACTTTCTTTCCCAAAGGAAATAAAGGGGAAGGTCCAGGAAGAGCTTCCAAAGAATCAAGAGAATCACACAGAGACCAACGAACTCAATCAGAACAGCTTCCTTAGTGGTTCGGATCTATTACCGACATCTAGGTCCTTGGAGACCAATGGTGTCCCCAGTTCCCACAAGCAGTCCGGGCCCCTGGACCTACATCCCAAGCACGCACAAGACAGCCTGAGTGGGGATGCCCAGCCGTCTCCCAGGGGCTCCTCCTCCGAAGGCCAGGGGTTCACAGCTCACACAGCCCTGGGGGAGGTGTCCTGCCTCCTTTGAACCTGAGTCAGATGCGGCAGCGCTCTCTGACCCAACCCCTGCAGCTCCCCGCTGCAGGAGACCCACAGAGGATGTGCTGGGTGAAGACCACCCGCCCCGCTTGCCAGGTTCACACATGTTGGGGAAAGACATGCACCATGTCCTACAGACTGGTCATCAAGTACCGTATTTTTAGGACTATAATACGCCCGGACCATAAGATGCACCCAGGTTTTAGAGGAGGAAAATAAGAAAAAAAATTTTTGAAGCAAAAAATGTGGTAAAATATTTAATAGCATAAATGACATAATGTTCCATCACCACCACCCCCCCACAGCGAGCCGGGTAAGCTACATTCAGACTATAAAACACACCCCCGTTTTCCTCCCAAATATGGGGAGGAGTACATCTTAAAGTCCAAAAAATACGGTACCTATTCTCTCACTGGCCTCTGCTAGCAGGAAGCCCTGCACACAAAACATCTCCTCACCACCTTTGTTACTGCTGCCACCCCTGCTGTGAGACCAAAGGGAGCTGCCCCCCAACCTACTCTTCCTTGCATTTGTCTGGACAAAAACCGGCTCGCTGCGAGAACACTGAGTGTGTCAGGCGGGACAAGAACTCAGAGAAGGAAACGGAGATCACAGCTGCCTGCAATGACACTCAGACTGTCCCTTCTTTGTCTTCGCCACACACCCACCTCTGGTCACCCAAACTTGGCAGGTCCCTGCTAACACCAACCATGTGGCTCCCCCCCAGGACCTGTTTGTCCCTGCACCTTCTCTGACATCAAATTTTGGTCAGGAAACAAGAGACACATTCCCTCACCCACCTCTCACTGATCACGTTGAGTCTCTTTATTCTAATTGCATTTTGGGAATTCCACTTCAAGAGAATATAGTCCTTGTTCATTCATTCATAACCACACAGCTCCTATTTTTGACTCCACACACCTACTAGGACCTCAGTTTCTTCTTTCTGTGGCCTTTTGTGGAAATGAATCCCCAAAACAATGAGTATAGATCCACCCCTTTCTCTTCTTTCAGCCAGCCATCATCCAGTCCCTTCTGGAAGGACGCCAGTTTACACTCTCAAACCCATCTCGTCTGTGGCCACCCCTTCCTGCATCACAACCAAGGCCTCTGCATATCTGACCTCTGAGCCTACATTAGACCCTGACATCACTGACATGGACACTACCCTCCTTCCTGTGCTGTCCCATTCAGATCTTCTCCAGGCTCCCGTGTGAGACCCCTCCCCCCTTCCCAGGTCCAATGCAGTGTGCAGCTGAGGCACCCCGCAGTCTTTTGTGTCAACCCATCTGCATTGAAGAACCCCTGCCTACATCAGTCCATTGCATGGCCCCCAAACCACCCCAGTCCACATTAGAGACCCCTGATGCTCAGCAGAAGAGATCTCTGAAGCCGGTACTCCTGTTAGCTCCAGACTGCCCCTCACAGGTTCTGTAGTCACGAGTGCTCGTGTAGACAGCACCTCTGCAGACTTGAACCCTGCCATGGACACCTGCGTTATGGACACTGCTCCTCTTTCCCAGGCTGTGATTTTCCATTTTCCCTGTGGGTCTGGGGAGAACCACTCCCAACGACCATGGCACTACCTAAATCTGAGAACACACCATTCAGTGGCAGCATTCCCTTGGCTGATGTGTCTGTCCATTTATCTAAAACAATTAGCAGAGGGACCCAAGTTTCCTACCCTCCCTAGGACCCAGGGGCCACCTCTCAGCCCACATCTGGGGCCAGTGATGGTCAGCAGGCTAAAGCACCTGGGCTGAACTTCTTCAGCAGCCCAGCTTGCCAGAGGCAGCACAGTGCTCTCAAGTAGTGCCAGTTTGCAGTGGCTGGACCCCACATTTGATACCACTGTCTACACCAAGCTGGCCATGGGTGACGACCCACATGCTGTCCCCATTAGCCCATCCTTCTTCTTGTTAATCTGCCTTTCTCCTGCATCTTCACTCTTTAACTCAGCTGTAGAGGAAGAACTGACACACATCGTGATGTGTCGAGCCAGATGTAACACGGCACAATTTTTTGCATCCCAGTGTCGGGGATGTGGCAATAGGCACGTGTTATGAATGCAGGAGCTGATCCTGAAATCTTGTTTTGAGTGTAGGGGATGACAATCCAGGAGGAAGTAAGGTCCACAGAGGGAGAGGTGGGGTGACTCACCCTTGCCCCTTCCTTCTCCTTGTCTATAAAAGGAGGCAAAGAATGTCTGCCTCACAGTGCGACTGGTGACATGCAAACAGGATAATATTTGGGAAACACCCAGCAGAATCCTCAGCATAAAGGAAATGCATCCTTTTCCCTGTTTCTCAGCTCTTTGAAAGCGGTGGCTCATGTTAAAAGAATATATAAAGAAGTTATAAGAGCAAAATATAATTTGTTTATTAGAATCCTAAAACTCACATATTAAAACAGTTAATAGAAATCTCTCATATACTCAGACTTTTCCTGCCCATTTCTTAACAAGATACAGTTTTGCTATGTTTTGTTTTATTCTTTCATTTTTTGGTCTGAGCTACTTCTCAGACCTGCTGAAGGACCTCTCTATAATTCACCTGCACCAGTTACCTTTGCAAAAGCTTGGGGCTTTTTTTGTTTTATTGTTTTAAGTATTTTTGAACTGACAAGTATTTTTGAACTGATGTTGGGGAAGTATTTTTTCCCAAAGTATTTTTTTTGTATTTTTGAACGGACATAGAAAAAGTGAATGCCATCCCCTAATTTTTCTAACAGGCCCTTGTGGAAATATTCTAAATTCAGAAAACTTATGGCTCATATTCTATGTGAGAGAAATTATCCCATATTTTCCTCTTCTTCCTTTTTATGGTTTTAACCTTAACACATGGTATACACATATTTTAGAGAAAATAGTAATTTTTCAAGGTATAGTTAAAAAGCCATTTTCTAATTTAAAAATTGCCTGTTTTTTTCCTTTGTACCTTTAAAACAATAATTCCATAGTGGTTTTTGTTACATTTAGAGCCAATATCGCTTGTTTAAAATTGTTTGTATATTGGGGTTGGGGGGTACAGAGCAACATTTGTGGACTCTGGGGCTGGAAATGTCCTGATACTGTGGAGATGACAAGACTAATGGCCAGAGTCAAACGGTTTGCCCAAATGAGCAGAATAGTCCATGAGCAGAAGAGATAGTCAGCAGTGAGGCTTTTGAGGACTGAAAGGAAGATAGGAGGGTGGAAGAGAAAAGTTTCCCTTTTGCCTCCCAATTTCCTGGGAGAAGAAAGATACAAACTAGTAATCGTGTACGAGAGAATTAGGGTGCAAAATGGATCTAGAGAAAGCAGATAGTATACGATCACATGATACGTTAAGTGCAGAGAGGGAGAGAATTCAAAAGACACTACAATTACCATGTTAAAGAAATCACTGTTATACTGTGCTGGCCACGTAGGTCCCGAACTTGTGCTGAAAGAAAATAAGTGCCTCTTCTGTATCATTCTGACTGCTTGGGTCCAGAAGAAGTGATTGATAGCCCCTGGAGCTGGTGTCCTTTGGAATTGCATTGAGGTTCCTATAAGTGTTCATCAGACTTGGTCGTGCTGTGGGTTCTAAGTGGGGGTCTGCCATGTTCCATCAAGCTGTTTCCCTCCTTTCGTGCTTTCTTCCTTTCACAATATTTTCTTACTCCCATAACATTTTATGCGGTCATCATGCTAATGGGCCATTGTCGCGTACATCCAGCTCTGTCACCTGAACCCTGGGAAAAGCAACGCTCCCTAGTAACTGACTCATATTTATTCTAAACATCAGTTCTCTCTAATCAAATGGTGCAGAATGAAATGATGAAATGAAATAACACAAAGATTCTGATATTTCTGCCTCTCACATAACACATTTCATATCACTAAACTTTGCTTTTCACATAGATTCATTAGGCTTGGTTTTTCAGATTGAATGTTGTCGTCTTCAGAGGTGACACTCCAGAGCAGGGAGGTGGCTCTACCCATAGTCCTTCCTGCATTTCCCCGTAGGGGGCTGCTTGTCCAAGGTGAGTATTCCATCTTGTTAGAGGTGCCCTCTTTCTTTTTAAGATTTATTTATTTATTTTTAGAGACGGAAGGGGGGGAGAAAGAGAGGGAGAGAGAAACATCAATGTGCGGTTACTCTGAGCCGTGGCCTGCAACCCAGGCATGTGCCCTGGCTGGGAATCGAACCTGCGATACTTTGGTTCGCAGCCCGCGCTCAATCCACTGAGCTACACCAGCCAGGAGAGGTGCCCTCTTGTAGCAGCATATATTGTGGGACGGTTAGCATATACACACAGCAATAAGGACAATGAATATTACAGAGGAATTGAAGAGGAGGTTAGAGAGAAAGATTCTTCACAGAACAGAAACCGGATGCTGGGTAGTGCTGGGAGCTGGCTGCAGGAATCTGTGGCTGTCTGCCCCTCTGCTTCCCACTGTATGACTCTTGTCTCGGGGCCTGTGCTCTCTGTGACTTTCTGCCTGTGGTCCACATTCTGGACAGTGCCCCATCTTCAGGACAGAATCTGATTGATGCACACTCTTGATATCAGAAATCTAAGACACGAGATGTTTGAGGAGTTACATGACCATTCCTCCAAATCTCACAGAGAACAAATCTTCCACCTTCAAGACTCTCCCTGGCATCCCTCACACGGATTTCTGGGTCCACTTCACTCTCCGCAGGGCACCCTTGACCTCTGCGTTCCTCAGGCTGTAGATCAGTGGGTTCAGCATGGGGTTGAAAAGGCTGTAAAACAGGAAAAGGACCTTCTGCTGCTCCTCAGGATGGCTGGACTTGGGGGCCATGTACATGACGATGGCGCTGCCGAAGAAGAGCCCCACCACGCCGAGGTGGGAGGAGCAGGTGGAGAAGGCCTTCCTGCGGCCCTCCCCAGACTGGATCCTCAGCACAGCAAAGAGGATGCGCGTGTAGGAGACCAGCACCAAGCACAGGGGCCCCACTAAGATAAACACACAGGCAGCAAAGATGACAAGCAGGTTGAGCCCAGTGTCCGCACAGGCCAGTCTAAGGACAGACAGGATCTCACAGAAGAAGTGGTTGATTTCACGAGGCCCGCAGAAAGGCAGCCTGAGGATGAGAACCACATGGACCAGAGCCAGGAGGGAGCCGCATGCCCAGGATGTGGCCGCCAGGACCATGCACACTCTCCAGCTCATGACGACAGAGTAATGGAGGGGGTGGCAGATGGCCACGTACCGATCATAGGACATCATTACCAAGATGAGGCATTCAGTGTGAGCAAAAGCCATGTATAAAAAGGTCTGTATTATGCAAGGGACAAAGGAGATAGTTTTTTTCTTGCTCAGAAAGTTTTCCAGCATCTTTGGGACATTGCTTGAAGCATACGAAATATCAACAATGGCCAGGTGGGAGAGGAAGAAGTACATGGGGGTGTGCAGGCGGGAGTCCAGTGAGATGAGCCCCAGGATGACCCCGTTGCCCAGCAGGGTGAAGGCATAGAACAGGGAGAAGAACCCAAAGAGGAGCATCTGCATCCTTGGGCTGAGCGGGAATCCCAGGAGAATGAATTCTGCCACCCATGTCTGATTTTTCATCATCTCCTGGCGACAGTGGCTGTGTGGGTCACTGCAGTGTGCTTTGTGCTAAGGAGCAAATGCAGATCTGGATTAGTTACTAAGCAGAAACGGGTTTATGGTGTACAACTGTGTGTTGACTCAGCTAGCAAACCTTTTCAGAGTCATTGTGTCAATTCCTTTCCTCCACACTTAGGCAGAAATTCTACAGCATTTGATTAACTTTGATTGCAACATCCACATTTTCACCATCATAATGTTTTCCATAATTGTTTTCCAGATTAACTAGTCCTTTCATTTTTGAGAAAGGCCCATAGCTATATTCTCACATAGCTTTACTTTCTGATTTATTTCATTTTAAAATTTTGTTCCTCTTTTCTCTTTCTCACTTGATTTGCCCCTATTATATAACACGTGCAGAGTACTTTACACTTTGCAGGTGCTCTGTAAATGAGCACAGAGTAAATATATGGATTAATGAATTAGGAAATGAGTTTACAAATGTAATGTCAAAGAGGTCCATTTTTCTCTGTGTCCACTAGGTTTAGGGCTTCAGTAGATGCCCTAGTAAATGTTGGCAGTAAGTTGCTTTACTTACTGCTGCTACACAGGAGAAGCTGGCTGACTCCCTCCTGGGCATGAGCACAGCGACATCACTAATCTGGTCAGCATCCAGGGAAGTAATTTATAGTACAGGGTCAGGGCAAGCAGTTATCTATGTAAGGAGTTAACAATGTAAGATTACCTCAGCCTCTTATGGGGCTTCTCCCTGGTTCTGAGTAGATGCTGTTTCTGGGACCCACCACATTTGAACAGTGCCCAACACATTTGTTGGATGGATGGATGGATGGATGGATGGATGGATGGATGGAAGCCATTACATTAGGAGTGACATCCTAAGTGTACATCCTGGAATTTAATCAAGTTCTTTGACTCTTCTTTTATTTTCTCTGGCGCCATTCCACCAACCATACAGCCACAGGGGTACTGAAAGGGAAAACCTAAGATGTCCCATAGAGGTGTACACCTACTACATGACAATTCATGAGAAACAAGATCATTCGCAGTGGGGAGCTCAGATCTGCACATTCCAACCCAGTCTTAAGCCCAGAAAACTGCCTGCCCGTAACTTGACCCTGTACTTCCTATTCAGTATGCTGATTTCTGGATCCCTTCCTTCCTCCAGACCCCAGCTTCCCTAAATTACCACACTTTGCCAAAGGCCCTTTACTCACTGTGGCACCAGCCTGGTGTTATCTCAGAGATATTAGATTTAGAGGGAATCACACAGAAGCGAGGAGAGATTTTGCAGGTTGGAGCTGAGGATCTCACTCCCTCCAACAGTCTTGGAAAGAGGGACTTTGCAGGTCGCTTCTGTTCTCTCGACACAGGGATTGAGGCCTGCTCACTTCCAGCACCAGCTATAAAGGTTTTAGGCAGGGCATTTCCACTGAAACCCTTCTCAATGGTTCCTGAGGGTCCCTGAGGGTCCCTGAGGGAGATGGGGCAAGGACACAAAAGACACAGACATCATCTCTACCTGGAGAATCAGAAGTTGTTTGTCTTTCCGTCTCCATTGCTCTGGGCTCTGCGGACCGATGTTCAGAAGAAAAGGAGCTGGTGTTATTGACTTAATACCCAACTGGATCCATGCACATGAAGCACATATAGTAATAAGGACAAATATTCTCCTGGGACCACATTGCAAATTGTAACCCCTAAGCATCTGGAGGGTGATGGGCTCCTGGGTCTCAGCCTTGCCCCAGATAGAATTAGTGGAGCTTGGAGGAGGCAGAGCATCATCCTTATGAAATAATGACTTAAAAACTGGCTTTCAATTCTTCCTCCTTTTCTCCTAGATAATTCTCAGTTGGGTATTAGTAGATAAGAAAAAACATTTCCATCAACCTTCCCATGCTTTGGTGAGAAAGACGCTGGGACCTTCCCACATAGTACCTGAGATTTTTATATAGAGTGTAGGAAGTAAGAGAAGGCAAAAACCAGAGAAAGCTGGCCTTCAAGAGGTATCTTGGGGGTTTAGAGGGCAGGGAATGTCAAATTCACATCTTTACTATGCTATACTCATAAAGTTCAGTGAATGTTGTGATATAATGATGCATTGGAATGAAGTGTCATTTATAAAATATAAAGAATTTCTTGAAAATTTTTCTGATTGTCTCTCTTATGGGCCTGCACATGTATATGTGTATATTTACGTGTGTCTGTTCAATGGGCAAAGTTCATTTACCAGAACACATTTGGTTCCTTACTTTAGAGAGAAGCAAGTTTTTAATGTGTATGCATCATGGTTCTCTGTTGACGAGGAAGGAAAGAAAATATGCCTATGGTTTTTGATTCAGATCTTAATGTATAATTCAAAACACACATATTTCCATTGGCAGAACAAAGAAGCTCAAGGAATAACTATCCTAAAACCTCTCAAGGAGTGATAAGAAAAGTTTAGAAGCCGTGTACAGTGATTGCAAACTAACTGAAGCACTTAACTAGATTAAATAAATTTATTGACTATCTAACACTGGAGAATTTAGTAAAAATATTACCAAGATGAGTTTCAATTTTTATATAGCATCTCTCCATAATTATTTATATGTAGACATTTAACTGAATCATTTATTTATTATTCATCCATTCAATTTATACTTAGGGAGTATCTGCGATATGTGGGCATTATCGTAGACACTGGAGAAACAAACATTAATGAGATACTACCTTGAACTTCAAGGACATTACAGTTTTCCCATAGAATGAGCCATGCAAATAAACAATTTAGGGGCTGTTTTAGACGTGTGCACAGCATACCATGGGACAAAGGGAAGGTGTGCTAGATTATTCTGAAGGGGGTTGAGACCGGCCTCACAGTGGATGGGATGCTTAGACACCATGCGGGAAGACATCAGATGGATGGGACATGCCGGATGTACCTTAGGGTATGAGGAGGAGGGCACAGCAGAAGAATAAGAATGACATTGGAAAGGAGGTTCACAGATGAGCTTTGGCCCCATGCCATAGATGTTGGATTTCATTTGAAATCAAGGGTAGAATGGTATGACTAAATAAGTGATTACAAAGATTACTTGTTGTTTAGTGCAGAGGAATGTTGAAAAGAATAAGGTCGGAGGCTGTGAGGCCAAGCTATCTGAGGAGTCAAGATGTGCAAGTGACAGATGACTACCTGAGTAAACACGGGGACAGGTAGGACAGAGTGTACTTGAAACATGTACAGGAAACTCAGGTATCAGTATTTCATGACTTTTTACTGTGGGGTGAGGAAAAAAGCAGAGGTCAGCTATTTCCCTGGTTTCTGGCTTATGTGGCTATATAGAATGGTTTCATTCACTTACACAGACGATACTTGGGGAACAGATTTTGCGGCAAGGGTTTAAAAGGAGTATAGTTTTTAATAGGGTGGGTTTGATGGGCCTAGGTGGTATATAGCTGGGTGTGTCCATTAAGCAATTAACTAAACTTTTTCAGAGTTCAGTAGAGATATCCAGGCCAAAGATAAGGACTGGGGAATCACATGCACTAGGTGATGAAGTCAAGGTTAATTAAAAAGGTCATTTGAGGACAGCAGGTTCAGTGAGAAGAAAAAAAGACAAAAACAGTATCTTATAAATGACCAATATTTAATAGATGGACAGAGAAAGATACACCTCCAAAACTGAGCAAGAAGAAAGACCAGAGAAATAGGCAGCAAATCAGAAAATATGGATGAAGGAAATCAAAGAGCTACGTTTACTACCTATATGTTATGCCAGGACACAAACTAAGATATTCTCTCTAATCCTGTAAGTGATTCTAAGTATGTTTTTAGATACAAGAAAATTCTGCATACAGCTACACTGCGGTTTATATCACAGATTAAAAAGTAAAATAAAGCCTAAGTCACTGACAGAAAGCCACTGTTGGCCTTAAAGAAAAGTGTAACACTTTGAGCTTCATTTCCTGTCTGCACCGACCTGCCCAAGTGTGAGCATCATGCAGCATGAACGGAACATCTCAATCTACAAAGAACCAGTTAGGAAAAGGTTAGCCAGAAATAGCATACAAACATGCAGCAACATCACTGGGAAAGTGAAACGCAGCTCTTACCCTGTGTGAAACAAGGACTGAGTGGGTAGACTATGATGCCAAGGGTGGGGAGGCAGATGACCAAAGATGGCCAATGCGTGACTTTTCAATGGTGCCCCCTACCAGAAATCCATCTCATTCAAAAGGAGCTTCTGCTGGTACTCTGGAAACATATCTATATTCCAGTCATGTATCACATTATTCTTAATTGCTCAATACACTTAGAAAGGGCTGATGACTTGGAAAGCAATGGATATCACTCCTTCTTATTTTTCCCCAATTTGGGGACAAAAGCCAACATGATCTCTCTTATCTACAACACCACAGTATAAATTTAAGGGGACAAACAAGGAGCAATGTCATCTTTAAAGACAGAAAAATCAGAATTGGATATTCAGTATATTAATAAATGTGATTCTGGCCCTGCTTGGTGTGGCTCAGTGGATTGAGTGCTGGCTTGTGGACCAAAGAGTTGCCGGTTTGATTCCCAGTCAGGTCCCCAGCAGGGGGTGCATGAGAGGCAACCACACACTGATGTTTCTCTCCCTCTCTTTCTCTTTCCCTTCCTTCTATAAAGAAAGAGAGAGAGGGGGGGGGGAGAGAAAGAAAGAAAGAAAGAAAGAAAGAAAGAAAGAAAGAAAGAAAGAAAGAAAGAAAGAAAGAAAGAAAATCTTTTTAAAAAATAATGAATTCTGAAATAATGGGATGAATAATGAAATCATCCCTAATTTAAAAAATCATGTGATTCTGAAGGACAAATTGTATGTCTGTTAATTTGTTGGGGTTTTTTAAAGAAAACTATTGTATCCTCCTTTTATCTCTCAACTGCTAAGCATTTGGTAGAGTCTTTAGGTGACAGAAAAGTGTTTCTCAAAGTCTGGTCCAGGGACTGCCAGCATGGAAAGAGAACTTCACTCTTTATAAGGAAACAA